GCCACTTCCCTCCTGCTCTGAACTCCTTCCTGTAGCTGTTGCTGTTGAAACCAGTCACTCGAGGCCTCTTCTAGGCTGTTGACATAACTGTTCTCCACATGTTTGCCTTCTGAACTGTCAGGAGACAGGATGGTGAAGTGGTTAAAAATACGGGCCTGGGCCCGAACAGCTCAGGGCAAATCTCAGCTGTACCCCCTTCCTGGCTGTGTGACCTTTGACAAGTTTCTTAACTTTTCTGTGCCTTAGTTTCCTTAAAAGTGAAAAATGACAGTACCTACCTCAAAGGTGTTAAGTAAATTTATAACAGTGTCTTGGACACAGGAAGAGCTCAATAAACGTTAGCTTATTTCCTCAATTAGATTGTGACTTGCTTGAGGTCATGAACTCTAGCTTGACTCCCTCCTAGTTCCTAGCTCCATACCCTGACATAGTCTATGCTGAATGAAAAAAAAAGTAATACCCAGGGTTCTGGGCCAGGAGTCTGGAATCTTCTGTGCCTCTCCTCCAGGCTCTTCTGTGAATTACAGGAATGATACTCTTGAATGATGGCACCGATATTTCCCTCCCCTACAGCAGTTAGAGCGTCTCTTCCACCTTTGGTTTCATTTCCCTAGCTTGTAGGTGCCTAACACAGCCATGTCTCCCAAGTAAGTTCAAATTCTGTTTCTGCACAGCTGTCTATGCATTTTGTCTACTCTTTCTTCTTCTTCTTCGTTCTCTTCTCTGCCTAAGCCTGTTTCCCATTCTAAATAAGTTCCCATTTCTATAGCATATTCATGCTTATTTACCCGGAACAGAGGCAAATAAGCCTTGCCTGATAGGCATTGTCCAATCAGTTTGTCCCATGGTTTTCTACTAGAAACCTTGCAGTTGGCTCTTTTTACAGAGAAGTGTACAAATACCAAACCTGAAAAAAATAAATCAAGACAAAACAACACGCAAAACCCATAGTTAAACATTGGTACCCCAAAGATAAGCTAGTAACGGCAGTATTTCTTTCCTTTAACTTAGCATGGACTATATTAGCCTGATAGTTACAGGTCTTGTCCCCAGTGTTGGCTTTGATGAGCTATCCCAAACAGGCTTGTAGTAATTAGAAATACTGTACTCCAAGTCAAGCTGCCTGCAAGAGTTAAAAGACAAGGGAAAAAGGAACCGCTAAATGGTGTTTAATGAGTCCTGAAACCTAGCGAAGGTATTTATCATGCTCAGAGGAATACTCTGTACCTGCCTGGTTCCATGTTGCCAAAGCATCTCTCAATGTTTCTGCATCCCTGACAGCAAAAGAGAGGCCATTTGACTGCAGACATTTGTCAACTGTCATGTCTGCCAACAAACTCACCATGAGCTAGCTGGCTGGGAGGGCTGGGGGTGACCAGTACCTGGGGAGATATTCGGGAAGTGTTCTCTGACCTCCTGGGCTGTAGAGCTAAGTGGGGGATCAGTCCTTTCCTGCTCTTCCCTAAAGAACAGAAACGTGGGCCGACCTCCAGAATTGTTCAGGCAAGGAAGAAAAACAAATCTCCCCTAATGCCTCTTTGATATGTGGCTTGGAACAACAAAGCTGAGTTCATTGGAGGCTTGCATTCATGAGTCAAAGCCCTGGAGGAGATGGTAGGAAGAAATGAGGCTCAGAAACAGTGGAAACCTTTGGTGGTGTACACTGTTAACCACAGCTCTCCCCAACGGTAGCTGTGGCTCTGATTTTAGATCACAGGTGGTTGCAGTGAAATTACACGACCTTAGGCTGCATTCATAGAAACAGATTTCAGATCCGACCAGTGGTTATGAGGTAGACTCTGACGGAGTACAGGTAGGCCCTAAGGGACCTGTGTGATCATCTCTCCTCTATTCCTGCATAGGGCTCCGATGTAGCAATCCCACCATCTGGTCTCTGCTACTGAGCACATGCTAGTTATTATATATGTTGTGTTAGTGTACTCTTTCTGTATATGTAGAGAAGCATTCTCCCCGCAAGTAGATCATAAAATGTGCCAAGATGGCCAGAATCTGTTGACTTCAACCAAAGATTGTGAGGTCGTTCACTGTGTCAGCACAGTCTTACCAGTTGTCTGTGGAGAAGCTGGTCACACAGACCAAAAACTAGGAGGCCATCTTACCCGTCTTTTTTCGTTTTGTAACAATTTGTACACAATGTGCTGCACTCAGTAGATTGTTTTATTGTGGAATGGGATTTTGTTAACAGCTTTATTGAATATAATTCCCATATCATGCAGCTCACCTGGTTAAAGTGCACAATTAATGGTTTTTAGTATATTCACAAAGTTATGCAACCATCAATTATTAATATTAGAATATTTTCTTCATTCCTAAAAGAAACCCTGAAATCATTAGCAGTCACTGCCCATTTCTCCTCAACTCCATGTCCCCACCTCTAGCAACTACTAACTAATCTGCTTTCTGTCTCTATAGATTGCCTATTCTGGACATTTCGTATAAATGGAAGCAGACAATACGTGTCCTTTTGTGACTGGCTTCTTTCATTTGGGATAATGTTTGTAACATTCATCCATGTTGTAGCAGGATCAGTACTTCATTCCTTTCTATTGCTGAATAATATTTTATTGTGTGGAGTTACCACATTTTATTTATTGATGGACATTTGGGTTGTTTCCACTTTTTGGCTATTATGAAACATGCTGCTGTGAACATCTGTGTGTAAGTTTTTGTGTGGGCATAGTTTTTGTTCTTGGGTATATAACTAGGAGTGGAATTGCTGGGTGATATGGTAATTATATTTAACAACTGAGGAACTGCCAGACTGGTTTTCCAAAGTGGCTGTACCGTTTCACATTCCCACTAGCCATGTATGAGGGTTTCAATTTCTCCACATCCTCTTTAACACTTATTATCTTTTTTCTCTTCCTTTTTTTTTTTTCTTTTCTGCCATTTTCTCTTCAGTAATATTCAGCTTATGTTTCCTTTGGGGATGTTCTCAAAAACTAAATGCTAAATTGGACAGTTGATTATCGATACCAAGTTTCCTTCCCTTTCTGAGGATCTGGACTGTGCTGGTCTAATAAGACCAGGGGAGGACTAGTAGGAAGAAGACCAGAGCTAATTGGTTCAATGTGAGCTTCTGGCTTTCTTAAGACTCAGATTGAAGAGCTAAAGATTTACCAAGACAGGCAATCAAATCCAAGGACATGAAAGCCTGTTATCTTTGCAAGTCCCTGAACAAGGCATGTGAGCTTAATGTAGACTTTTTGTGAAGCTTTTATGGGTATTGGAAGACCATCAACAGTGATGGTGAGCTCCTCCGTCTTGTTTTAATGGGATTTTTCTTTCAGTATACAGTTCTCCCCTCAAAATGCAAGAAACTTTGGCTGATTTGGTTTTCTTAAATAAAAAGAACATTTAAACATACCCAGTTGAAATTCAGACCCCACAAAAGAAGTCCTTCCTTTGGCCAGCATCACAAGGGGAAACATTTTTCCCTGTTCTCTCTTTCAGCGAGTGGCAGACCTGGAGCAAGAAAATGCTCTCTTGAAGGATGAGAAAGAACAGCTTAACAACCAAATCCTGTGCCAATCTAAAGGTAAGTACCAAAGTACTTGATTTTTGTTTTGAGTTTTAATCTGTTTTCCACACCTTTTTTCCTCAAATGTCCCCAAGAGACTCCCAGCAAGCCTGCAGTTAGAGTCAAGATGCTGCAGTTGGGAAAGGACTTTAATAGAAGAGAGATGAACCTGTGTACTTCTGTTTCATGAGAAACTATTTGCTCTGTAAGCCTTCACCTGAAGTACAATAAAAAATTGAAAAAAATTGAAAAAAAAAATAGATGAGAGATGGAAAAAGGAATGGTGATCTTTAGGATCCTGCTGTGACATTTGGTTTCAAGAATTTAATAAGGTGAGACACACACATACTGAACAATATGACACATGGGACTTCGTGGGATTTGGAGTCAGGGAGACCTGTATTCAAATCCTGTTTCTACCGTATGCTACTGTGTGGCCTTGAGAAAGCCACTTAATGACCGCAGTCCTCAGTGTCTTCATCTGCAAAATGGACATAATATTACAGATGTCAGAGAACTCCTATGAGGAGTGAGTGATACTACATGTGACGTGCTTACTGTGGTGCTTTGACACACAGTGAGCATCAGGAGCTGCTTTTATTGCTGTTTTGAAATTGTATCTTTGGCATCCGTAGTACTTGCCATGGTTTCTTCTAAGCAGTGGGTCACCTGTTAACGTTTGCTGAAGAGAAGGCCATGAATCAGATCCCACCTCAGCCTCTCTTAGCCACCTCCTGGGCCACCTTCAATCCCCACATACCACTTGGCTGTGTAGGAGCAGTGGGAGTCTGCAGACCCATGTTCTTGCCCGGCTCACTATGGCCTGAAGCAAATCTTTCTCCTCTTCCCATCCTCTGGTTCCTCCTCTGTGTCATGAAAGAATAGAACTCAGTGACCTCACAGGCCTACCCAGCATAAAATCTTGTTGAAAACATAAAACGTTTTTAAATTCTCCTTTAAAAATTGTTCCTTTTCCAGAATTTCAAATTCTCATGGAATCCAGACTTTCTGGAGCCATGGAGGCTGGATGAACCCCCAAAACTATTGCCCTGAGATAATCTTTAAGCCTTAAACCAAAAATATCCCATGAAATCTTTAAACCAAACAGTAGTTTAGCTTAATTAGTAAAGAATGTCTGCCTTGAGCACTGTGCTCTTTTAAAGAACTATCTATATTGGATCAAATTGACAACAGCAACTCAAAGGATTAGATAGGAAGCTTAGGGGGCAATGAGTTTATGTTAATGGGGGAGGAACAATTCAGAAAAGGAGGATGAGAATGATTGTACAACTTGAAGAATGTAATCAACGTCATTGAATTGTACATGTAGAAGTTGGTGTACTGTGTATCTTTTTAACAACAACAAAAATGTTTTTTTAATTGTTCCTTTCCATTATATGAACAGTCCATGTTATCTATGTGTCTACCCTCCCTCCTCCAACCTACCTTTTGGCCTTCTCTTCTCTTAAATCTCCTGCATTCTCCCTGCCTTCCATCAACCGGAAAAACCCAGGAATAGGGAAGAAACTGTAGACAAAACCTTGGTTAACCGGGGGAGTTCTCCCAAGCGCTGCCCACTTCTTCCCACTTCCCCAGGAGCAGGGTGGCTCTTTCTGCCCGTCTCTGAAGACTTAAGACAGAATAATGAGCTTCCCCTTTGCTCTGCAGTAAGTGAGGTAGCTTAATAGATTCATATGAGCTTGTCGTAGCAGTCTTTTAACAAGAGATTAATCAGCAAGCATGAGTCAATACATGTGAGGGGAATCCATTCAGAAGGCAAAACTGCAGCTTAAATGTGCCTGCTTTCCAGATGGATTTGCTGAGAACTCTGTCAAGGAAAATCTGATGAAAGATCTGGAGGAGGAGCGGACCCGGTACCAGAACCTCGTGAAGGAATATTCACAGTTGGAGCAGAGATATGACAACCTTCAGGATGAGATGACCATCATAAAGGCAAGGAGGGTGGTTCTGCTGCCCCACTGCTGCAGCCCCCCGGCTCCCTGGCCGCCATCCACCTTGTACCCTTGTTCTCATGCAGTGCCAGTCACTGCACTGCTCTCTGACACACCGCCGGTGCTCACTAAACATGTGCTGCGTAAAACGGTGGTGCCTTCCAGCATCTCTTCTTGCCACTCCTGGGGAGAGGTTCTGCATAGGGAAGTAGCTGGGCTGGGTGATTCATTCCTAAGGACAGCTACTTTTCTAACTATGGGGTCTTAGAAAGATCTCAGTTATGCATTTAAGGAAAATTCCACCCAGGTGTATGTGTTATCTTTCTTGTTTCCTTTTCTGGGAACATCCCTGCGTTGGAACAACAATGATGTCAGGGAGTTGTAATCTTGGCTTCATTAGTGCCTGCTGCAGAGAGGGACTTGGAGGTCTTGACCTGTACCCACATCTGATCGTTTCTCCTCATCACTGATGAAGTGCAGTCGGCGTAGAAACATTTTCATGATTATTTCAGGATCTCAGTCATTCTTTTTTTACCCCATATAAACATTCCCTCCAGAAATGCATATGCAAACAAGATTGAATAAGTTAATTGCATAGAAACCAGGAAGAGAAGCTGAAGAGGACAATATATAGAAATCTAAAAATTTTCCTAGGAAGCTTAGTTTTCACTCTCAAAGCCAAATCAGATGTAAAAAAGGGGGGAGGGTGGTATTTTTAAATGAACAGTGTAAGTGACAAACTATTTCAAATATGTTAGTATTTTCATAAACAAAATTGGAGTGCAGGTTGAAGGAAAGGGGTCATTAGCAGCAGGTTTTTGGTACCCTTTTCAGAAGGGAGGCCAGTGACAGGACTGCCTTTGTGCAGTTGGAAGGTGAGACTGGGAGGGAAGGCTTATTTCACCAGAGAAATTGTCCTTGTAAGTGTTAAGATTTGCATTTCCTTAAGAGACAAAGGAGCTCGGTTCTTGCCAGAGCTGTGCTTTCGTCTTCTTGTCGTTGTATTGGTTCGCTAGATGGATGACCAAAAAAGAACTGTAGGTGAAACATTTCATAGCAACCGTTCTGTTTAGCCATCATTCCAAGAAACAGTGATAACTGTTCTTGACAAGTGAGGCAGAAGGCCAACTCCATGGCCTGCTGCTCTTTGGGAATGAACAGTTATTACATTGTTATTAATGAGTTTTCACTTTTTTTTCTTCAATAGCAAACTCCAGGCCACAGGCGGAACCCATCAAACCAAAGTAGCTTAGAATCTGACTCTAATTACCCCTCCATCTCGACATCTGAGATCGGAGACACAGAGGATGCCCTCCAACCGGTGGATGTAAGTAATGCAGGCTCTTGGCTGCTGTCTGTGCCCCAGAGGGAGCATTTATTACCTGCATGGAGCTGCCCAGCAGAGGTTTAATGCTTGTTGTAGTGACCAGAGTAACCAGGGCCTAATTCTTGATAGCAGGATCCCTCAGACTGCAGTGGGTTTATAGATAGTACTCTAGAATTAACATTCACTGTGCAAAGCAATACATGATCATTCACCTTACCCACTATCCAGAAAGGAAAGAAGAAGGTGGATATCTGATTGCTCTTGCAAAACTCAAAACTGATGCAGAGAGTGTAATGGCTGCTTAAGAAGGAGCAGCTAAGTCATTAAAATAGACGTAATTTATCATCCCCAGTTCATAGTTACAGCGCATATAGTAACATCAATAAATGCCCAAGAAAATTTTCTTTCCTGACTTAAAAACTGGATAAAATTCAGAGAACAGCAAATATTCGGAGTGAAAGTATGCTGGGTGACTTACTTTGTCAGTAACAGCCTCTTAGAGTCACTAATAATGAACCACATGGTGGACCGTATGGTCTGTGTGTAATTTTGTCAAAGGTACAAAGACACACAATTTTTCTTCTGGCATTTGAGAAGGAGAAAATCACAAGCATACAAAAACCTTGTGAAATGCTTGGAGATAGGAATAGAGAGACAGTTGTAAAAATAAATGTGTGGGGATTTTTTTGGAAATGGAATAAGTAGTGATGGTAACAAACATAGTGAATGTAATTAATGTCACTCAAATATACACTTAAAAATGTTTAAAACGGCCAACTTTTTGTTATATGTATTTTACCACAAGAAGTTTTTAAAAGGCAATGCCTGCCCAAAAGCAAAGACAAGAAGGCAGGAAGGGACAGGAAAACTGGACGAATGGACACGGGGAACCTGGGGTGTAAAGGGAAAGGGGGAGAGTGCTGACACATTGCGGGGATTGCAACCAAATTTTTGAATGAGAAACTAATTTGCACTGTAAACTTTCACCTAAAGCACAGTAAAACTTTTAAAATAAAAAAGGGAGGGTTAGGAAAGAGAAGAAGCAAATATGTGTTGAGCCTGTGCTTACATGCCAGCACTGCTGGTTAGAGCTGAAGGGTCAGATGTGCCAAAGCCAGAGAAGGCCCTGCCCTCACAGAGCTTGTCTGATGGGGAGTCAGACACTAAATGGCTAAAGGAACTATTCTGTAATATTGTACAGGCTTGCTAATCAAGGACAGTAAAGGACAGAGTGATGGAGCAGAGGGTAGAAGGGTGGAAAAAGAGGTCCCCAGGATACAAGATCTCTTGTCTGTCATACAGGTCCATGTGGTTTGCAGGCTTAAGGCCCTCAGTTTTGCTGTTACAGTCTCCTAAGTCTAGGCCCCCCAAGGCTTCCATCAGCCTGAACTCCAGACTCACCATCCAGATGTTTGTGTATGTGATTGTCTGCATGCTGATGTAAGCACTTCCACCAGTGAGCTGTGCTCTTCAAGGAAGCTGAGACGGGGCTCTTGGTTTCGGCCAGAGCAGCTAGCACAGTGCTGGCTAAGCACAAAGCACTCATTAAATGCTGGCAGAACCCAATTATATTGTCACACATGTATACACATGTACTTAAAAAAATCCATGTGGCTATGGTTACAGAGATACACACTGATAGGCAAGATGGGCATGTTAGTGCACATACAACCACATGTTACAGACCCCTGGAGGGCACATCCAGGCACGAATCTGAAGGGAAAAATATCGACTGGGAAATGGATGCTCCAAGTTCTGTTGGATAAATGAGCTCTGTGGAGAGGGAGGTGTTGAGTGTTTCAAGGTACAATCAGGTGATATTTGACAGCACCTTTACAGTGATTAGTAACCACATTGATTCTTCATCAGGAAGCATTATGTCCTGAGTTTTACAATTTCTCTGATGTGAGGCCATTTTCTAGAAGTGAGCTCTTTTAACTTCCAAATAAAATGGCTATGTCTTTACACATTTGTTCTTGGAATATATGATCGGTCGTTCTAAGTGGCTCACACAGAAAGAATATAAATGGCTGAGATTCAGATGTTATCTAGACAGAAAGTGAGCCTGCAGTGCCAATGTTAATATGAAAAATGATGGGTGGTTGGCATTGGCTTTGTATTTGAGGCACGGATTGATGTTTGGGAGGGGAGAGAGGACAGACAGCTGATACAGAGGTAGGTGGTGAGGTGCCACATGTTCCCTAAGGCATTTACACTGCTGAAACCTTCTTTTCCCTGCTCTCCATCTTCCTTTGAAGGAAATCGGCCTGGAGAAGGCGGCCATGGACATGACAGTCTTCCTGAAGCTGCAGAAGAGAGTGCGAGAGCTGGAGCAGGAGAGGAAGAAGCTGCAAGTGCAACTGGAGAAGCGAGAGCAGCAGGACAGCAAGAAAGTCCAGGTGCGAGGAGGGGTTGCCAGCCCTCAGAGCGTGCCTCGGGGTACTGGGATCAAAGCAGATCCAGCTCACTTCTCCCAGGGGTGGCATGGCAGGGTGTGACCCCATGGGATTATGCTGGTATTGGGTTTCAGAGAATAGTTTCCATCTTGTGTTGGAGTCCACTAAGCCATCTTTGCAAGTGCCCCATATCCCCTCAGTTGGACAGGAGTCAGATTCCTAGTGCCCCCAGGGCAAAGGATTTCCACTGGCGAAGCTAAGGGGAGAGTCTGTAGCATCATCACCCACTTGTTCAGGGGGAGGATAATTTCCTGCACAACTGTTGCCTGAGAAGAGAGGCACTCATGCCGAGAGAACTAGGGTGTGTAATGAAAGTATAAATACAGTCATGGGCTGCATAGCATCCCTTCAGGCAAAGTCTGACTGCATACACACCTGTGGTCCCATAAGGTTATAATAGAGTTCAGAAATCCTGATTGGAGAACATCTTTAACATAA